GCCCAATTTGCAAACTGTTGACAGTTCAGGTGGTCCTAGCCAGTTCATAATTTTGCAATGTCTGTTCATCCGCCTGTCTGTCCGTTAACACGATATCTCGAAAACGAACGGTTCGATTACAATAAAATTTTGCAGGTGGATTCTTTATCAAATTTTTAGATCGGAGTTCGTGAATTAGCAATGTAGGTAAAAAAAATTAAGGCCACGATCTTACTGATGGTTGGGTCAAAACTTCGAACGGGAATTGCTACTGAACGAGACGTCGGAATTTGGAATATTGTTAATGTACAATTATATTAAACAGGAAAGGTCCAAGATGACATTGCTGATACAATTATTACATTAATACTATCAATAGTTAATTCTATTAATGTGAAAGTTTCTTGATTATGCACCGTTTACGAGTTAATTTGAAGTCTCCTTCGTTTAATATTTCATTTTTTTTCAAAACGGGAGACATTTTCGGTGATGTCGGTAAAACTGCTTTTCGGTAAATTGAAATTCGACGTATTGTTCCTTCGGTATATTGCCATTTCGGTGAATTGTTTTTGTTTTTCGGTTAACTGTTTTCTGTAAACTTTCCTAGACCCCTTCAAAACGTCCAGAAAACGTATAATATTGGCATATCGAAAATTTATCACGATTACAATACTTTCCTTTATACATATGTACCTACTTCGTATGTAGTCGGGAAGTAAAAACTATAATACATTTTGAAAATAACGTGATGTAGAGGTGCCAAGTTGAACAATCAAGCAGTTAGTGCAACTGTGAGGCCTTCTATTAACGTTCTCTTGTTATTAAAAGTTAAAGTTTGGTACCGTCTGAAGAGCCATCGGCAACTCGTCATTTTATTCATCAAGTTAATGTTGTTTGTCATTAATTAGTTTTGTGTACATAATCTGTCAGTGTTTGTGTGTGAAGTTAAATGCAACTTGTTATCTTTATACGACCAGATTAGTAAGAAGTCGGAATCAATTTTTGTCATTGTTAATCAATTAATTGTGTGTTTATTGGAATCCGAAAGTTGAGTTTGCGCAGCCTGCGCATCAGCCTGCGCATGCGCAGTTTATTTGTCAACATTTTCGTTGGCTCAGGTGCTAGAGCTATACGCTCCCGAATGCAAAAAGAACGAACTTAATATTTTGAAAACTGTAGGAGTAGTTAAGGCCTCGAAGTGGCTGCAATAGCACACCCAACTTGGTTGGAAAATGCGCTAAAAACTAACTTCCAGCATTGAATAATAGTGTTTCTATTTAATGCTTCCAGCGAGTTTCATTTACTAACCTTTATCTGACATCAGTACTAAATCAGTAAACTTTTATTTGTTGGTGGTGTACGGGACAAATTCGATACATATTTGTATGGTATGTTAGAATGGCACGTCAGTTTTTGTTTTGCTAGAAATATAGGATTAGCCTTATTTAATCAGAAATTATTATTTCTACATGTTATCGAATTACTGTCCTCTTCACCCTGTCGAAAATGTCAAGGAAAGGTTCCAACAGAATTAGGAATTTACCTAATTCTTATCACTTCACAAACGAATCTCAATGCTTTAGTACTCTTTTTTGTTTTCTATATTGTAATAGGGAGGTTCGACATTTTGGTATGTGTTTTATTTTAACTGAAATCGAGAGATTTTGCTATTAAAAAACGATCAGAAAAAAATTGGGTGCAAAATATTGATTTTTACGTCCGCTGTTATGTAAACACTTTAAAATCAAGGGTCGGCGCGAAGCAAGTAAACGTACCTGTGTGCGAGACTACCCCGTGTGACGTCAGTAGCCAGAAACATTCGTATACTTTGCCAGCACGGCGGCAAATGTTTCTGGCTACTGACGTCATGCGGAGTAGTCTCACGCACAGGCACCTACGTTTTCTTGCTTCGCACCGACCCTTGATTTTAAAGTGCTTACAGCGGACGTAAAAATCAATGTTTTGTACCCAATTTTTTTCTGATCGTTTTTTAATAACAAAATCTCTCGATTTCAGTTCAAAAATGTCGAACCTGCCCATTCGTTATACTTATGTAGGTTTCGTCCCCAGAGGAGGCGCGAACTATTCCCGAAATTACAATAATCTTGGGAAGAGCCGCATACAGTCGAAAAGAGGCTAAACGACATCATGGAAAACCAGTGGTGATGCACATAAATCGGTTGCCTCCATAAGTGGGACAGATCAAGCCCGAGGAACAGGAAGCAACGAATGTGAATCAAGAGACCACGACAATCCACTTTATAGCGGAATTATCGCACTTTACTCTGGAACTCAAAGGGCGCGCTTTCGTGTTGTCCGTGAGGAATCTAAATTGTTTGAATGTCAAGACGTCCCGAGGTATTTTATCTGTGGTATTACCATTACTTTTTGAACGACCATTTATTTCAGTCTTACAGAATACATACAGGGTGGTGACTTGCGTAACGCATCATAGGGATTTCAATGTAAAATTCATAACATGCGATTATTGGCTCCCCAAATTATTTTAGAGCAAAAATGTATTTAGGTTGTTTGTAGAAAAAAATTTTTTACGTCACTCAGTCGTATTAGTTTTAAATTTTTTGCATAATAAAGACGGAAATTGGAAAAATAAAATCCCCATCTTTTTCAATAATCTGTGATGCCATGGAATTTTATAATACAAAAACTACGCCAATATCCGTCACGCCATGGAATGTCTGCTATAAAACAAATCAATTTCTATCAAAAAGTATTATATTTAGAACAGCGAATTCAAGACCAAATTACTAAAAACGGTTTCCTAATAATAACAATTTACAATAAATGTTCGAATACGTCTCCATTAACTGCAATACAGTAACCAAGTCCATCATAAAATCAATTTCGAACTGTTGCTAATTGATAACTGGATATCTTTTTGTTTTAGAAAATTCCATGGCATCGCAGATTATTGAAAAAGATGCAGGTTTTATTTTTTCAATTTTCCGTTTTTATATGAAACAAAATTGAAAACTAATGCGGTTGATTGGCGTAAAACCTAATACATTTTTGCTCTAAAATAATTTGGGGAGCCAATACACGCATGTTATGAATTTTACATTGAAATCCCTATGATGCGTTACGCAAGTCACCACCCTGTATAGGTAACAAAAATGCATCAAATTCAAGTCATTGAGATAATGCTCTTCGTTTTTTCCCCAACGATCTTGGTGCATGAATAACGATTTTGAAATGTTTTGATCAAAATCCAATTGGCCTCAGAAAAAGAATTCAACATCTTTGTATCACACACGCGCTTATCAAATGTGCACGTGATGTACTCTTTTAGCATCAAGATAATCCCTTTGAAAGCTTTTACAACTCCAAATTCGTATTTAAAGAATAATTTTGGGTACATTTTGCTCTAACACTTTTGACCTAGACCACAGAGAAGAGTTATATTGAATTATTAAAGATCTACGAGTCATAGGGAATAATCTATCGAAAGTCCGAACTCGATACATGACCTAGGGAATGAAATATGTTGATACCTATTATATTGAACCCGCAGTTTTTCCTGTTCCTGATTTACTCGAAGTCATATAACTTTTGTTTCTGTTGAGCCAGCTTCCTGAAAATCAATAGCGTGAAGTGTCCGTCCTTAATGTCCAAAGTACTCGTACACCAAATTTCAACATAATCGGTCACATTTAAAAAGAGTTATAACGCACACGGACGGACGGACGACAATACAAACGTATAAAGGATCTGATGAGGATCCTTAATAAATACAGTACAAAATAAAAAGAAACTAAACATTATAATATTAAATGTCAATCAAATCAAATAGATATCAAATTAGTGTATTTGCGGTGTTTTTCTGCATGTGTTGTTATTATTATTATTTAATGTTTTTCTCGCTTAAAGCGGTTAACTCACTCATGACGGGTAATTACCAAGTCAAAGGTAAGTATGTTAATTATTCTAAAAATTTCCTGGTTATGGAAGCTGTTTTTAACAGGACTGCCTTTTGTATGATTGTATATGGGTGAATGTCGAGATTTTTCAGATGCTGCAGGAAATGTTTATTGGTAACTCCAGTAACTGACACGATAAGAGGTACTATTGTTACTTTGTGTTGTTGCCATAATTCTTTTACCTCGATGGCCAATGGTAAGTGTTTTGTAATTTTCTTTTGTTCTTTAGTTCTTACATTTGTGTCGTTTGGTATTGCAATTTCTATTAGAAATGTTTCGTGACGTATTTTGTTTATCACTGTAATGTCGATTACTACTGACTGTCGTATGTGTGTGTATACTGTCCTGTCCCAATAAAGTTTGTGTGTTTCGTTTCAAGTACGTTATGTGTAATATGGCATCTTTGATTCTATAAGTTTGCGTTATTGTATGCTAGTTCTTAGTGTATGATTCTAGCAGCGATGTCGTGCCTTTCGGTGTATTCTGTACCCGCTAGTAGTCTACATCCTCCTGTTATATGGTCGATGGTCTCGGTAACTTGTTGGCATTTTCTGCACGTAGGTATCTGTCTCTATTGGTTCTTTGGTAATGTACTTTCTGCAATTACGTGTTGCTACGACGTTATCTTGGATGACTAATATGAATTCTTCGGTTTCAGGAAATAATTGACCCTTTTTAAGCCATCAATGCTTCCCGTGTAGCGCTTTTTTTGACCATTCTTCCTTTTTTTTGTGTTTCTGTCGGTGAATGTTGCTGTTGTGTATTTCTTTGGCATAGATTTAGGGGTATGTATTGTTTGTCTGATTGTATGAATGTCTAAAAGTCCTCTTCCTCCATCACTTCTACTGATTGTAATGGGTTCTATGCATGAGTTGGGATGTACTATGCGATCAAAAATGAGTGGCTGTCGAGTCACCTTTGGAATTTTTGTTTGCATGTGAAATCGTATTTAATTTGAACTTCCAAAGGCGACTCGACAGCAACTCATTTTTAATCGCCCGTTAGCTTTCGATGTTTGGTGAGGTGCGTCCTGTTTAACCTGTTAAATTCGTCTATTTCTGTCTGTGACCATTTGATTAGTCCGAAACTACACGTAATGGCCGGTATCGCGTATGTGTTTATCGCCTTAAAAAGGTTCTTGGAGTTAAGTTTGGACTTTATCAGAAGTGTTAGTCTGTGTTTGTATCTTCCTTTCAATTGTAGTTTTATTTGTGTATGGTTGATACATGTGTTTTGTTCAAAACCAAGATACTTGTACGTTTCTTCTGGTCGTAGGGTGGTAAGTATTTCGCTTTTGAGGGTATGTGGTTGTTGTTCTCTGTCATATTTCCCTTTTTCACAATACAGCAGTTTAAACTTGTTCATGCCAAATTCGATTGTAAATTCTTCAATGATGTTTAAGAATGTGTACTTTATTGTCTGCATATAGCTTTATGTCGTCCATGTAGAGCAAGTGGTTTATTGTATGGAGTATTGTCTTCTGACGTTTGATTTTGAATTCGTATGTCGCGTCATTAAGTATGTTACATAGCGGGTTGAGGCATAAACAGAACCACAGGGTGCCGCCTTGAAATATTCCCCTGTTAATTTTGATAGCGTTTGTTTGTAAGGTGGCAGTGGTGTTGTAGATATTTGTTTTTTTGTAAATACAGTAGCCAACTGTGCGGAATGTAGGCAAAGATCCATGTAGTCGATGTAACATGTGTACCAGAAATGATGTATGCTTTCAATTTGTGCGCTTTCCTTAGGCACTGGGCAAGGTCTTCTTCTGTAATGTCATGATCTGTCTGTTGTGGTAGGTTTTTTGTCTGTCTTCTTCTGTGCGTACCCCTGTTGATGTTAAATATGTGTTTCAGTTTGGACCATAAATTTTTCCAAAAGTCCTGAATACTTTTGCTGGTTGGTAGGGTGAATTCTTTATTTTCGTTGTGGTTGTTCTCTAGATTTTTGTAAATTGCTTTTGATTTCTGTTGAAAAGTCTGTTTTGCAATTTTGTTTCTTCTGATTCCTTGTATCTTCCGAGTCTTGTCGCACCTCTAATAAAGTATTATGCGGGTCACTCTGTAATTGGGCGCAAGCCTGCTGAGGGCCTAGAACACGAGAGGTATAATAAATAAATTAAATTAATAAAAGAATATACTGCCAATTTCTGTTTTAACGTGTCTAATGCTTCTATAGGTGCTTCCTTTTCGTTTTGTACTACATTTCCTACGCGTTTGAGTAAATTATTACTATTAAATTATTATTATTTATTAATCCATTTGAAGACTGTCAGAAATTCATTGTTAATTAATTGTAAATAAATCAATCACGTAATTGTAGTTTGGATAACTAGATAACGTAAATCATTGTAAAACGAAAATTCGAAAAGGATATGGGGTTTAAGCGCAAAGTTTAATCCGGACAGACAAAACCCACTACGAAAGATCCAAGCGCTCGCCATTTGGTATTGGGTGGTGTTAAAAAATAAGACGAAAGAAATTGACAATTGCGTTCAGTGGGTGTACTGTGCACTGTAAAAGTAAATGTTTCAGTCTACTACATTCACTTTATTAACGAGCTCCTAGCGAGTTCATAATTTTGAAATCTCTGTCCGTCTATACGTTAGCACGATAGCTCGAAAACGAGTGGACCGATGACGATGACATTTTGCAGGTGGACTTTATCAAATTTGTAGATAAAAAATAAGGAAGGTCCTTTTGACATCTCTATTACTATTAGTTATGAACCGAATTGAAATTCAAAATGAGCTATACTCATAGTCATATAATACGCAATATCAAGCAGCCATACTCAGGATCTCGTTTGCTATATTTGTTTAATTTATTAATATTTAAATCAATAATAATGTCTACCTGTTACAGCACTCATCTCGTTAGTTGAAACATTATGAGTTATGCAATTGAAATAAAATTAGCTCATTCCTATTTTTATTAACAAACATCAAACTCCCTCAATTTGCTGAGATTTTAATTTGTATTGTATTTCTGTGCTCCTTCGTGAGGACTAATACGTAGGTACCATTATAGTAATAATACCATGGAAATGGTTTCGTCACATTCCAACAACGAATTGCTAATATTAATATTCGTCATTAATTTTGAATTAGGTAAATAAAATGGGTTATGCGGCAACGGAGTTCTGACTACGTTATACAAATGTGTAATTGCGACTTGCCAGAGATAAACTTTAATGTAGGTATATTAGATTTAGCAACGTAACGCTGTTTTAAGCACTGTACCGCGAAAGTCGAGTTTGAACGGTTTATGTAACTGTAACTGTCTTCGTCTTTATGCTGTCATTGTAACAAAACAACTTTATAATGCAAGTATGTTTGTAATAATGTAGTTCTGCATTGCCTTATGCAAATGACGCAGTTCATAAACAAGGTGACAATTACTCACGTTTGATTTGCACTGATAGGAGCCGCGACCGTTACTTACTATTTAACTTCGTATCGTCAACATAGATACCATCATTTCTAATAGTTAGACTTATGTTTTTTCTTTTATGTTGCAGCAACAGAAGTTTTTAAAACGCTCTGCCGAAGACCACGACTCAGGAGTGCCCAACGATGGTTTTGAACCACCGGTGAAGCTGCAATGCACCACGCAACACGGTACCACCGCTCATCAACCCGAGGGCCTCACTAAATTCTCTGTCGAAATTGTTCAACAGTTGGAATTCACAACTTCCGCAGCTAATTCTCAGCCCCAACAAATATCGACGAATGTAACGGTGAAGGCTCTAACAAACGCCTCGGTGAAGAGTGATGTATCGTCGCCCAAATCTTCTAATCCTTCAACGCCCGCATCAAATATAAGGCCAAGTTCGGGCGTTGGCAGTAGTGTAGATATCGGTACGTTAGTCGAGTGCGTAAAGCAAGAACCTGACAACGATTTCGCGGATTTAGACCAATGTGCCGCGGCGTTAGAAAAAGATGCCGCCGTTAACGGTGGCTCCGCGTTCGGTAGTTTCCCGGATCTCATCGGCGAGGATCCTGACGATGAAATTATAACATCGGACGCCTTTAAGGATCTCATTTCCGATATTAGCAATTATCCAGAGTTTATGAAAGACTTTGATTTTGATGAAAGCAAAACGGAAACGTGTTTAATTATCAACGGTTTGAAAGTAGAGGAATCCAAAGAACTGACACAAAATGTACTGGACCATACCAAAAATACCCATAGTCCTCTATTACAAAATCAAAACTACTCCCCCCCGATCTTCGAAGGTCAGGGGAACATATCCAAAAGTCGTATGTCGTATTCCAACATCGATTTTGGAAAGACTGAACTTAGTCCAGCCGCTCAAACCTTAAAGCAGATGGCCGAACAGCACCAGCATAAAAACCAAATGGGCCTTTCATTCAATCCAAACACGAGGGTGCCGAATCCCCGTTCACCGTATCCCGACTTTCAATTTCAAGGAGACTATGGCAGTCCTACCTCAAATTCTAGTTATAAAAATAGTCCGAGTTTTCAACCTGAAATAATTAAACAGGAAATGATATATCAGGGAAATGAATACGACATGAAACGTAAAGGGGCGGGTATGTACAAGCAACAGTATTCACCTTACGGAAGTCCTAGCGCGAGTGGCCATGGCAGTCCAGGTTATCTTCCCAGGAATAGCGGAGGAGGAGGGTCAACGCCCGGAAGCGGCGCATTTGGTGGTGGAACGCCGCCGAGGCCATCATCAGGACCCGGTGGAAACGGATCTGGCACAACGTTACAAATAAACCAAGCACAGCAATTGCATATCAGTCAGCAGGGACAAGGACATTCAATCCAGGTTGGTGGTTTTTCTTTAATAACTAACATTCAACAGTGTTTTCAAATTCTTTAAATAATATAATAGTCAAGATTTCACTGTAATACCTAAACATAAATCATCCTGTTAACCTATTATCAAAGCTCTTATGAACAACGCCTTCATTTAGTTTCGCCCGTTCCCGCTAGTTATCGTCTCTCGGTCGCGTTGTTTTAACATCATTTTATTCATTTCACAGCTTCTAATGGACTGATCTTACTAATCATTTATTGAATTTATTTGTTGCTCATCCAATCATACACGACGGCGACTGTGAAACCGTTATTATACTGTAATTAAGGGTTGTTAGAGAGAACCATAATATGGTAGTGAGTGTAATTCACTCGCCAAAATTTCTTTAACATTATTTTCTGTATACTACTCGTATTTGCGTATGTACCGGGAAAGCGCGCTTTTTCAATGAAAGTATACGAACTCAGAACTTTAGGATTTAATTACAAAAAAAGTATTCACTCAAATGGGATAATGTTTCCGTATGTGATAGAATACACCTTTAACTATACGTCGATACATTTTTATGCATTTCTGTATAATTACGCAAACGTTACAGCGATAAAATGACAGACGCGTTTATTCGCTTATTATAAGATACACTTTAAAAATTCGATAACGTAAAAAGTCCTGGCAGCAAAAATTTACAATTTACGTATGTTAACAACAACTTACCAATTGATACGTTCCAAAAATTTCATTAATATCGGCTCCAGCGATTTTGAGATTTGAGCCTTCAAAGTGAGCGGACTCTACATTTTACTCCGATAGTAGGTTACTGTTAGGTTGTTGATACTATGAGTAAAACTGTAGACTGAGATCGGCATTACAATTGTCACATACAGGGAGATTTAAGAATCTTATGGTATTGGCATGAAAGCATCACTGTTCTCGATTTTATAACATTTGAACGTATGAAAGCTCTCCATCCGTTGGATTCCACACAGCTTCACAGACGCTCAAAAACTTGCTTGCTTGCAAATAAAAAGAAGTGTTCTGATGAGGTTTAGTTAAATATTGATTATTAATTAATTTATAACAATTCTTAAATAGATTGATTTATAACAGATAATAATTATTTATCAAATACAAGCACGAACATCACTAACAATCACTTCGGTGTTGAAGTTGAAACTGCCTTTAAACGCAATTCAATTTGCTTATATAGCAATCGAAAAGTTTCTAGAACAAATCACGGAATTCTCGAATAGTCTAGAAGGCGTATCATATTTCAAGGAAAAAAATGTGTCGCATCCGCTTCCATTCCTTATCGCCGGTGACGAATCTTTTATCGACTTGATGTCGGCTGGTGGCGCTCCAACGTTTCTAGATGTTTGTAGAATATCCACTAGGTACGATACTAATAAGTTAATAAAAGTAGCAATATGGCTAATGCTAATGGAGTAAACAAAAAGTAAACACAGTATGACCGCCACACGAAAGCGCAGTATTGCCCCTTGATACGATATTATCGGTCCCCTTCTTCTATAGTCTAAGATATTCTGTAACTGTAATTCGAATTAAAATTCACAACTCGCAACAAATCGACAGAACGTATCGAACTATGACGCTGAATTTTTTGAATCGCTCTTTATGAACACACATATCTTCTAGCTAGATAGCTTCACCGGTTTCGTTCAATTTTTGTGCACCGATGGAGCATTTACGTTCCCTGAATGCACGCATTGATTTCTTAAATGTAAAATCGGTTATATGCATGCTTTGCTGGAATTGGTAGCCAGACAAAAGGGCTTGGTGTAAAGATCTCGTACGTACCGAAATTTTGGTTTTGCGGAAGTCAGCGTCAAATTTGGTTAAACACATGCATCGATTCTCACTTTTTTATTTATGAAGATATTTACATGAAACTTTATTGTAAACACTACGATAATAAGTAAAAAGAGGGAGAGGGGAAAGAGGAGAGAGAAGAGGGAGGGTGAGAGTTTTCAATTTTTACTGCATGTCATATGTTTTTCTTTACTAGAAGTATATATATGGTTAAAATTTCCAAGAAATATCTTTATGCGATATTTAATAGTTTAATAGTCAAGATTTTCCTTGGCTCAGGAACGAATTAAATATCTTGAAAACTGGAGGAGTAGTTAAGGGCTCGGACAGACGGACAGAGAAAGTGGCTGCAATAGCGCACCCGCAACTTTGTTGGAAAATGCACTAAAAAGGGTTTTTATTATTCTTGTTACAAAGAACATATGAATGCCATGTTTTTTGTATCAGTAAATATTCCTTACACCTCGAGCAACTATACAGAAAAAAAAAATATTACACTTGCGCATTCCAACTTTTGTTTTAGCGCAATCCCCTTTTCTTATTTGTTATAGTATTTTACAAGGTGGCACGCGGGAACGATCGATTATGAATAAAGAAATAATCAAAGAGAAATTAATTTTATGTACATATCTTCGTAACTATTATGAAGATGAAATCATGGCATTTGATGTCACTTCAATAAACATGTCACTTTTTGAAAATTGCGTCTCTTAGATGAGCTCCTTCTAAGCGCACGCATTCCTCCATTCGCGAACGCAAATTTCTTTCAACGTATGATTTTTTTTGTGGGGATTCCTGAAAGATCGAGTGTTTAGAACTCGCCCACATAACACCAATGAACTCAAGGACAGGATTCGTGAAGAGATTTCATTGATCTCTGTCGAGTTGTTGCAAAGAGTTATGGCAAATTTGCATCTTCCAAAATTAGACTAATGTTCTATTTTGTGGCATTTATTTACGACATATTCTGTCTTTCGCCAGGCGTTTTTCTCTACCTGGAGGACACTCCTGATCTTCTCTTGCTTTAGGACTTTTTTATAAACTTTTCATTGGCTTACTTCTTCTTCATAGCAGCTAGATCCACTGATGAGCACTGGTTTCCTTTGCTGGTATTGGATTTCCAGTGTTTCTGCTTGTACTCCCATTTGATTGGTATCTTACAAGGTTGATGTTTTTTGAAGCTGCAGTTTTTTGTTGTATGTAGGATACCTGCCATAATCCGATCTTGATCTGTTAACTTGCGAATCTGACTTAAACGGTACCTAGTAACCATGGCGACGTAGCGTTTTTGAGAGGAATTTTGTCTCCACGGATTTGATAGCAATAATTTACAACGACTGATCTAATAAATTCGTTCGCTGTTGAATAGAATTTTACTGAATTTTTCGTACTCTTTTCACACTGTCGGAAAACCAAACTGTAAATGCGACGTGCCGAAAGTAAAATTTTCTATACAATTTTGTGTTCGTGTTTGTTCATTTGTAGACGAGTCGTAGAAAGAGGAATTTCACGTGTTTGAATTGATGTAGTTGAAAGGATTTTCCACTCTGTTACAAATGACAGATATTAGTTATCGAAAGGGGAGAGATGTCTTTGAAATACACGCGTTCCAATTAGAAATATAACATCTGAGCCGACTTGTAGAATCAGATGATTAAATTAAAAGAAAAAAGATTAGATCTGTACAACAATCGTGAAGAACGAACTCAGCCTCTGCAACTTTACAGTCCTTCGATCGTGTTTGTAATCAGCATCCTATACCTTAAGGGCGCAAAATCAATACTGATGTTAACGTAGGAGAGGCATTTTTATCTCCACTTCACATGTCAACGTATTCATAAGATCTTCTTTGTTGTTGATAGTGTTTGATTAATTTTTAAATTAGCGAATTTTGATTTAATCATTGTAAGTTAACCCAACAGGTTTGATAGGGGGTGTCAATTTGTGTATTTCGTGTTTTTTATATTGCGTATTGGATCTATAGGTATATGTCGCTCACTTACCGTCATTTATTGCGTTTACTTATAAAAAAAGTTCGCCTTAAAAAATTTAAGGTATAATATGAAATACCTTCTATTAACAAGTTAAAAAAAAGAAATGCAGTAAATTCGGTGGCAAAAAATCTCGTAAAAAAGGGTTGGATTAATTTAATATCGCCCTCATCTATAAAGTCGGTTTCGCACTTGTAATATACCGAGTAATATAACTTATGTATACCAAGAGATCATATTAAGAGAATACGTAGTACAACTTTACTATCCTTTTAAGTGCTCAAAATTTGATACATATTTAATATTTCATTGTAATCTCTTAGTTAAGCATGAACAGCCATACCAAAAATATGATAACAATTTATTAAATTATAAATTAATAAAATAAAATAATTTATTAAAGGAATCCGATGAACGCGTCTCTTATTTTTTCAAAGCTTATTGTTAGCGTCATCGAAACAACAATAATTACGCCACAAATTGTTTTTTGGAGTACCTACTTCTTATTGCTCGCTATACATATGTTTTTGCACGGGAGTAAAATCATTTCATCCGTCACGCCGGCGCCGTCAGAACCGAAGGTGAGCTCGGCATTATTAAAGCGCATTTAAGAGGGATTTGAAATATCGCATTAAAATCGTCCATGTCTTTGAAATTGACTAATATATGTGTTACCGTTGATGTGCGGAAGACCGTTAAAAAGATTATCTAATTAATCTGCAAATTATCTAGTTAAGTCCGTTAAAGTTAAACACATGAATTTGGAGTAAAAGCTTTGAAACGCATTATTTTGATGCTGAAAGAGTACATCACGTGCACATTTGATAACCGCATATGTGTGATTTAAAGATGTTAAATTATTTTTCTGATGCCAGATGGATTTTGATCAAAACATGTCAAAATTGTTATTTATGCACCAAGGTCCTTGGGAAGAAGACCAAGAGGTTTATCTCAATGATCAACACATGAATTTGATGCATTGTTTGGCGACCACATGGACTTTGATGAAAACATGTCAAAACGGTCATGCACCAAGATCATTGGAAACAACATTAAGAGCATTATCTCAATGCCCATGACATGAATTTGATGCATTTTTGTTAACTATAAAATGTATTTTGTAAGATTAAAATAAATTGTTAAAAGTGACTGAGGATCCTTCGATATTTCGTTGTATCGGTTTATTATTAA